GGTTATAAATTTTAGTGGTTTTTTATAAGTTTTAGGGAATTTTTATATTTTCTTGGGATATTAATAAAGGACATTTTTATAAGGCCATTTGATGTTTACGTGTGTTCGAATATATGTTGAGGATTGGAGTCATCATGTGGCATAAAAGGGTAGACTTTGGGGTAGCAACTTGTAGGACTGATTGGGTTGTTTGGCTGGAGTCCTCCGTGGTTGGGATTTAATGTTAACACGGCCATTACAATGAGGTTTGATAGGATGTTTTAAGGGAATATTTTTTGATGAAGTAATGGATAAAGGCATTAGCTTATTAGAGTGGGGCTAGTATTGGGTTTCAGGGTCATTCAATCATCTTTTGACCTAGTCATAATATTTATGATCCATAGGGTAGTTTGCTTCGCCCATACTATTGGAGTTTCCTCGAAGTAGGAGGTGGCAGGACCCTTGATCCATAGGCTTTCAAGCAGGCGAGATTATTTAACTATATATTAGCTTCATCAAACAATATAAAGTATTAATTGTCATATTTTGGCTTGCAAGATTGATCTTTATACCTATTTGGTTATAAATTTATGAGTGTATATTCTTTTTGCCTCGTCACTTAAATTGGCTTGAGTTTTACTAAAAGCTTATACCTTTTTAGTAAGTAGAGCTTTCTACAGGCTAGGAGATAAACTATAAGCTGAACCTCAATCCCAAAATTAGGGGATTGACGAGGTGTAGTTTTTTAGAGACAATTTTTTTTATTGATTTGTAGAATAGTGTGAGTAAGGTATATGGGGCATATATTTTGGTTTTTCTCAGTGGAGCTAGTATTACTATTGTTTATAATCATCTTATATTTATTCATCATTAAGAAAGGGTCTCTTTATTGGCTTTATTTTGCTATGGATTGCAACGAGATAAGGTGTGTGCAGACATTGTCCCATAGGGATTGTTTGACCTCATTTTAGAGGGATAGTGAATTGACATATTTGTTCAAGGTGCAACAAATATGTATATTTTCATGTCATTTGATGACCCAAGAAGACCCCCAGATTGATTTTTTCACCATTTTGGGTGAAAAAGAAGAGGGATGTTTTTTGAAATTATGAAAGTTCAGATTTTTAGCATGGTGGATTTTGAGCTTGAGATTTTATTGAAGGTAGGGATTTGTGAAAAGAGGCTACATATCCAAATTGATTTTTTTTTGGGGAATCTTTTGGAAGTTGAAAATAACCCGCAAAGAGAGTTAGTTCAATCAAATTAAATAGAATTTCGACTTGAAAAGTTTATGTTGGGTAGAGCTTTATGAGGGGAAGCTTTCTTAAAATTTATTAAAAATTTCTTTGATGTTTTGATATCCAATGGAAATTTGGCAATTTCGAGAAAATTTGAGTTTTTGAAGTATTGAATTTTGAATTGAAATTTTTGTTTTAGGTAGATTTCATTTAGAGTAGGTTATTCACCGAGTTTCATAATTTTAGAGTTCTATAGATTTTTGGTGAATTTCAGAAGTTGTGGTTCATAACACTGAATCTGATCGAGTAGTGCATCAATATGGGACTATTTAGTTTGGCTCTTGGGTTGTGGAGCTTATGGGGTGCTTGGAATATCATATAGAAGGCCTTTGTGGAGCTTTAGAGTGATTGCTTATGGGTTTTTCCAGTTTTGGTCAGGGAGCAACTTTGGTTACTTTCCAAAATTTGTTTGATCACATAACTTGAGTTTTAAGCCAAGTGATTTAGATGATTAATATGAAGGCTAAAACTTTTCACATTGTGGGACTTGAAAAATCAAAATGCCAAGATTGAGTTGAGCTTGATTGACTTGATGTGAACATTGAGTTGATTTAACCATTTTTCTAGTTATGATAACTTGGTTTTGGGAGGGCATGATACGGAAGATGATTGCTTATGAAATTAGTTTGTCATGTGATTATTTTGAGCTCTCAATTTAATGTTTTAAGAGTTTGTTCACTGTTTGGAGAGCAACTGGGTTCAAGTTTTGTTCATTCC